AGGTCAGCTCCCCTTCCACGTCCCCCATGAGGGGCAGCAGCCTGAAACCCTCACCAGAAGCCTACTGGATGCTGGTGCCATGCTTCTTGTACAGCCTGCAGAGCTATGAGCCAAATAAATCTCTTTCCTTTATAAATTACCAGCCTCGGGTGTCCTGTTATATGCCACCACATCTACATTTTTGCCACTAACAGCGTGAACAGATCCTTTCAGCAAGCACTTCCCACTAGGCATGGATTGGAAGCCAGCCCTCAGTTCAAGTCCACTAACAGTGTGCCTGTAAGTGCCTCTGACACTGCCACCCTTAATGCCCCCCTCACCTGGTGAAGCCCATTCCCCTCTGGGAGGCTGTGAGGATTAGCTGTCAGCAGCACCTGGCTCAGGTGACAGCAATGTGTGGGGGCTATTCCAATGCTAAGGAGGCTCCTGCTGGGTGCTCTGGGCTGTTGGAACCTACATAGAACTAACCCCTTGGTTCTATGACAGTGTTGTTAAAGCTTAGAGGAGACACTCCACATTTAGGCGGGGGTGGGGTGGGGTGGTGAACTCAGGCTTAGACCAGCTCCCAGGGCATTTTGGGTAGGACTTTGCAGTTGCTTGTACTCCACATTCCTAGAAAGTGTCCAGCACTGGAGTGGAGCTCAGTTCAGCCCCAAGGGTTGCAGGCTTGTTGGGAGAGACAGTCTGGAAGGGACGGTAGGAGAGGACTTGGGAGTCTCAGTGCCTCACATGGCACCCCATGACAGGGGACACCACGTAGTTCTGACTCTTAATCTCTGAGGTCTTAGATTTTTCTCTGGCAATCTGTCTTCCCAGAATGTGGCCATCCTCCAGTCTGCCTCCACAGCCCTGCCAAAACTACACTCCCAGAGCACGAATCTGATCATGCTACTCCACAGGTGAAGCTCTCCCAAGGGACTGACCCTCCCTGACATGTCATTCAAGGCCTTCCGCAAGCTGTCTGCTGGTTGGTTCATCTTGTCCACACTGTACCTCTGGCATTTCCATCTCCCCCAGCCTTGGCATGTTATTAATACTTGCCCTTACTCTGGAATATTCTTTTCTGTTTTGTCTTTTTGGTCAATTCCTCCTCTCCTTCAAAAGCCAGCTCACAAAGACCTTCCCAGAAAGGCTTCTTTGATCACTATCATCACTCTTCCCACCCTGCACCATGGATGTGCGTTACACCAGTGTTAACAATGAGGGCAGTAACGACGATGAGTCATCACAACAGTCAAGACTTACTAGGAGCCAGATATTATTCAATTGCTTCTCATATTCCAACCAATTTACCCTGTCAACAAGCCTAAGGTAGGTGCCATTATTATCTCGCTTTTACAGATGATGAGACAGAGACACTGAAGCCATGATGCTGCACTTCCTGTTTACATAACTGTCTCCTTTCCCAGAGAACAGTGACTGTGTGTAATTTGTCACTGTATCCTCAGCATTTTGTTTGGTGCCAAGCTCACATTGCAGGAGGCGCAAACCATGTTTAGAAGATGAGCCAAAGCTATGATGATCTGATGAGGGTTGAACTCACACCTTCCCCAGAAATAGACAGCCTCGGGGGGAGATGCGAGCATAGAAGGGCTTACAACTTTAGGATCCTGCAGCTGTGGGTGTATGGACTCTAAACTGCTGATCCTCCAGCTAAGACACAGAAAAGTCTAATAATTTCAGAGGTCCTGATAAGATTGCTCCCCTAACACCAAAATGCAAATCTGTCATAACCACAAGGCTCCTGCCTGCTCACCCCAAAGGCTCATCCTGTTTGTTGTGATCCCCCATGGACGTGATGCAAGGTAACCACATTCAGGAACTTAGCAGGCAGTGCTAGCTAATCCCAAAGTGCTGAGATGCAGAAACTCAACACCTTCGCCCACTTCCTGTTATTGATGGGTCCACTCCTGCGGCTCTGGGAAGCTTTACCACAAACCTAGCAAAAATACAATGTGTCTGGAAGTATTAAAGGTGTTCCTTTTAACCCCCAGCCCTTCATTTGCAGGTTCTGGCTCTCTGTATAAGGCAGGGAGATGTTCATTGGCTTGGTCAGGGGAAAGGAGAACCAGGAGGGCAGAGTGGAATTCTCTACCCATGGAGGAGCAGAGATTACATTGAGTTCTGCCCGTCTTGTTAAGCGATAGCTTCCTGTGCCCGATCCATCGTAGTATATGTTACTGCTTTGAAAGCAAAATCTACTTGGTTTTATTACTGAAAAATCAGTCAAGTGGGGCCCAGGAATTCTATGAAAAGAGGTGAGGAAAAAACCACCAGCTGGACCAAACTGGTGGAGATGGCCACTCTCACTGTTCCAGGAGAGGCAGGCTGGGGCCTCGGGGACCACCTTTCCCTGTCTGCATCTCCTTACTGGCTATTTCACTACACCTAACTAAAATTAAATAATGGCAGAGAACAAAAGCAAATCATTTACAATCACATTTGGCTCAATGGATTTGGTGAAAAGGCTAAAATCAGGTGGAATTATCTGCTTTCTGTGAATTAACAATGAGGGCCGTAACGACGATGAGTCATCACAACGGTCAAGACTTGTGCAGTCCCCATCCTCCCCCAACACTGTGGATAACTGAGGAGTAAGCTCAGGTCTTTGTTAATGTGTCAATGCCTATTTTTATATTTGTATAACATCTTAATACCAGGTCATTCCAGATCTGGAGGCATGACTTGGAGCCATCTGTGTACCATCTGTCTTTCTGAATCTCTGTCCATCCTGGTGTTTTCTTATCCCTTTCAAACTTCTGTGTTCTCTGGATCCTTGCACACTACGCCAGCCTGGAACCTCATCTTATCTTCATGTGTGGAAAATGGCACCCCAGCCCTCTAACCCATCTGCACTCTCTACCAGCCATCTTCCTAAAGCACCCACTAGTCATGTTTGAGATGTACAATGGCTCCACACTGCAAGTTCAAGTGCAACTTTCAATCTCAGCTCCACCTGGCACCTGCTACCCTAAATCTCCCTGGTTCACTACTGTGGCCTCTGGTTTTCCAGCAACCACACTCATTCCGTTTTCAGGGCCTCTGTTATACCTGTGTCTCAAAATGCCTTTCCTATTCAAGATGATCAACACTCCATTTGCCCTTCACAGTACAAGTGAAGACTCACTTTCCCCATGTAGCCATTCCTGTCTGAGCCCTTGTGACCTCACTGGTCAGTAGCCCCTTGACTTCTGCTCTGTTTTGTGCTGATGCTGCTGGCTCCCTTGGCATTAGCATTCCCTTCCCAACTGGCCCCTGGACGGTTCCCCTATGCGTGGTATGCCCACAGGGTGCCCACTGTAGCAATTTTGCCTGATGCTTGCTCAAAGTTCATATTCCTGAGCTTCACCTCTGACCTACTAAATAGGAATCTCCGCACCAGGTATTTGATTTTTATTTATGTATTTATTTTTTTTGAGACAGAGCCTCAAGCTGTCCCCCTGGGTAGAGTGCCGTGGCATTACAGCTCACAGCAACCTCCAACTCCTGGGCTCAAGCGAGTCTCCTGCCTCAGCCTCCCAAGTAGCTGGGACCACAGGCGCCCACCACAACGCCCGGCTATTTTTTGGTTGCAGCCGTCATTGTTGTTTTGGCGGGTCCGGGCTGGGGATTCGAACCTGCCACCTTAGGTGTACGTGGCTGGTGCCTTAGCCGGTTGAGCTATAGGCGCCAAGCCAGGTATTTGATTTTTAAAGGCTTCCTAGGAGCTTATCATACACCAGGAGCTGAGAATGACTGACTCAGGGGTGCTAAAATGCTTGGAGTATGACACTGCCCAAGGCTGGGATATTGCTGTATGATATCCCAGCATGCATCAGTTCTATTCAGTGTCTGGACCAACGTTCATCCTGAGAGGTCATCCGATAATCTCCAGGTTCTATTTCTATGCCCCAAATGTGAAAACTGTAAAAGATCAATTTGCCTTAAACCAATTTACTAAAGCCTAATTTGCCTAAAGCCTAGTCACCTAATGACTATCCTGTCTAAATTTAAAATGTGCAATTAAAGGAAATCTCCTAAACCAATTTGTCTAATGGCACTTCCAATTGAATTTTATAAAAATCATTTATCATTAAACATTTTGCAAATGGTAAG